TCCAGATACTTTTTTGTATTTTGAGTAGAGATAGGGCTTTGCCATGTTGCCCAGGCTTGTCTCCAACTCCTGAGCTCAAGCGATCTGCCCATCTCGGCCTCCCAAAGTGTTGGGATTATAGGTGTGAGCCACCTTGCCCAACCTCATCAAGCTGTCTTAAAATTTTATGCATTTCAAAGTAAAATGTAGACATGAGTATATTTCGCCCCAAATACTTTAACATATATATCATTCACTAGAGTTCAATATTTATTTATAGTTCTTTTGAGTGAATATTTACAAACAATGAATGCACAAATCTTTTTTTTTTCTTTTTTTTTTTTTTGAGACGGACTCTTGCTCTGTCTCCCAGATTAGAGTGCAGTGGCGCGATCTTGGCTCACTGCAACCTACGCCTCCTAGGTTCAAGCGATTCTCCTGCCTCAGCCATCCTAGTAGCTGGGACTACAGGCGCGTGCCACCATGCCCGGCTAATTTTTTGTATTTTTAGTAGAGACGGGTTTCAGGATGGTCTCGATCTCCTGACCTCGTAATCCACCCGCCTTGGCCTCCCAAAGTGCTGGGATTACAGATGTGAGCCACCGTGCCTGGCTGAATGCACAAATCTTATGTGCACCATTTGATGACTTGACAAATGCATATACTTATCAACCCAAACCGCTATCAATATATAGGACACGAACATCACCCCAAAAAGTTCCCTCATGTGATCCCACTCCTACCCCCACCATAGGTTAGTTTTGCCTGCACTAGAACTTCATATAAAGAGCATCATACCAATATGTACTTTGTCAAAGACTTCTTTCCCTCTCACTTGAAATCATGATTTTGAAGTTAATCCCTATTGTGTGTATCTTTAGTTGTTTCCTTTTTCTTGCTGAGTAGTATTCCATTGTATGAATATGAACATTGTTTATGCACTCTCTAATGGACAGATAGATGTATATTTGAGTTGAATGGTCATTGCCTTCAGGATGCTTACTCTCTTAAAGTGATAGAGCAGATAAGTGGACAGATTGTACTTTCCTTTTGTTTTTGGGGATAGTAAGATCAAGATAATTCGGGTCCATACCCTAACTTACATAGATGCCTTCCTTTTCTTAAAATTAAGAAAAACTTTACTTAGAGTATGGTGAGGAGAGAAACGCAGAGAAGGAGGTCAGGAAAATTGTAAGGTTACCTTCACTGGAGTGGAGGGAGAGGGTAGGAGAGGAAGGGGAGGCAGATAGAAACTGCAGCCTCGGATAGGGAGTAGGAAGGTGGTGGTATCAGAGCTGTTGGAGACTTTGGACCTGAGGCCAGGAGGTGCCAGAAAGTGCAAGGTCTACAAGAAGGCGATAGAGCAGCAGTTGCATTGTAGATCTGATCCTGGACGGGAGGCTGCAGGCAGCCAGGCAGGTCTAGAGTCAGGAGAGAACGTCCACAGCCAGGCCTGACGATTATGGGGATGGTGGTGGGGAAGAGGTGCCTTGTGAGCTGTGTATACGGTGGTGGCAGGACAGAGGTAGTGAGGGCAGGGCTGACATAGCCGCAATTCTCTGAAGGCCCCAGGGTTGGAATGAGAAGGATGCCTTTGGCAGAAGGTTAATAACTTAACCTGTGTCCACAGGAGACTTAGATATTTAGAATTTTAGAGCCAGAAGAGATCTAGATCATACTGTAGTTCAACCTTGAGCAGAGTGACAGGCTCAAGGTTCCCCAGTGATTTTTTGGCAGATCCAGGCCTAGATACCAAATCTCCTAAAACTTCTGGCCAGCGCGCCATTCCTTGTGCTGCTGCTGTGACCATCTGCTGTCCTGACTGCCACAATGACAGTGAGGAACAAGCTTTTGCTGAGACTTTTTCAGGGACCTTTCCAGCCCAAAGATCCTAGAATTCTGGGAGCTCCTTTCCACTCATGCTACTCAGCGATCTAGTCCCTAGCAAAGAGCCAGGATTGGGTAAGCATTATAGACCAAGAATTGGGTGTCTTGGTGGGACAGCATTATAGTCAGTTGGGTTCTCTGTGGTTGGACTGAGGCCAAGATACTCTTGTTGTCCCATCCAAGTCCCCAAGGTGGATTTTTTTCTTCATTTCTCCCACAAGTGCCCCTGGAGTTATCTTCTAAACCATCCCTTTAAGATGATCCAAGCCGTGGTGGGTGAGATATAAGGTGGGCGGTAACAGCTGAAGATCCCACATCTTGGTTTATGGTAGGTCTGTGCCACACCCCATCAACATTCAGGAGGAGAGAGACTCCCCTTGTCACAGTAGAGCCCTGAAGAGAGAATGCTGGCTGTGAGGTACCCCTCCACCCCAAATCAGTTCAGACTACCTGGCCAAGGCCCCTGGCTGTGTGCCTTTTCGGCCCTAGATTTCCTGTTTTCTAACTCCCAGCTACTGTGCATGTAGCATTTAGAACCAACAAGTTCAAGGCTGGGCGTGGTGGCTCATGCCTGTAATCCCAGCACTTTGGGGGGCCGAGGCAGGCAGATCACAAGGTCAGGAGATTGAGACCATCCTGGCTAACACGGTGAAAACCCGTCTCCACTAAAAATACAGAAAATTAGCCGGGCGTGGTGGCAGGCACCTGTAGTCCCAGCTACTTGGGAGGCTGAGGCAGGAGAATGGCGTGAACCTGGTAGGCGGAGGTTGCAGTGAGCTGAGATGGCGCCACCTCTGCCTCCTGGGTTAAGTGATTCTCATGCCTCAGCCACCTGAATAGCTGAGATTACAGGCGTGCACCATCACGCCTGGCTCATTTTTGTGTTTTTAGTAGACACGAGGTTTTACTATGTTGGCCAGGCTAGTCTCTAACTCTTAACCTCAGGTGATCCGCCCACCTTGGCCTCCCAAAGTGCTGGGATTATAGGCATGAGTGGTCTTGAACTTCTGACCTCAAGTGATCTGCCTGCCTCAGCCTCCTAAAGTATTAGGGATTACAGGCATGAGCCACTGCACCTGGCCTTGAATTATATTTCTTATGGACAGCACTGCTCTAGAAAGGAGATGAGATGGTATGCCAGGAGCAGCACAAGTCAGGATGCTGGGCAGGGGGAAGCAATTAGCCATTGCACTAGGGCCTTTGGGAACTTCTGACCTTGATACCTTCCTGAGCGTTGTACCAGGGTTGAAGGGTGGTCCCTCTCAGTAGACTGGAGATCCTGGAGGGGCCTGCTTGGTTGTGGGGGTGGGGCACACAGAGAGGAAAGGCCTGTCCAGGGCCTGGCAAGAGGCCATTACTAGAAGGGATGAGATTATAGATCCCATGTCTGAAACTCAGAGGGGTAGACTTTCAGAGAGAGAAAAAAATGTCATTTAATTTCCAATTAGGTGACATGGCCTATTTCTTCTTCTTGTTCCCTGCTGGTTAGAACAAGAAAGACTCTCTCAACTCTTTCCCACCAGGTTTTTATCAGTCCTGTCCTGTTAGATGTGCAGGGGGTTGAGTAGGTTGTGGGTAGGTTGCACACACCCTGGGACTGGGATTTTCTTTCAGGCTACCACAGCTTTCTTCCTAGGGCTATATTTAGGTGTTGGTCTGGGGAAAAGGATGTGAATTTTTTAGGATCCTGTTTATCCAGTGGACCCTACCCCATCCCCACCTCGCAGCTGTCTATCCTCTGTTTGGTCTGGAACTTCCCTTGCTTCTCTTGCTGCTTTACTTTGGTCACCCAGGCCCTAGAAAGAACACAATATTTGCCACTGAATCCCAACATCACCATTTATTAACTGTATGACAACTAACATATACTTAATTTTCTGTGTCCCATTTTCCTCCTTTGTACAGTGGAAATAATGATATCTACCTTGCAGGAATGCTGTGAGGTTCAGAGGAGATAGTGCATGTAAAGTACCTGGTATTAGGCCTAGGCAGTGGTGGTCATTAAATAAATGTTGATTCCTTTGAGGTCTTCTGTTAGGCGGTGGCTAAGGGTGCTACTCTAGGGATAACAGGCTCAGGAAAGAGCCCAAAGAATGGGATGTCTGTTGCTTAAACGAATATTGTCTGTGGGAGGTGATGTTGCATTAAGTCCCTTTTCTTTTTCCTTTGAGTTTGAATCTTGTTTTTTTTTTTTTTTGAGACGGAGTCTTGCTCTGTCACCCAGGCTGGAGTGCAGTGGCCGGATCTCAGCTCACTGCAAGCTCCGCCTCCCGGGTTTACGCCATTCTCCTGCCTCAGCCTCCCGAGTAGCTGGGACTACAGGCGCCCGCCACCTCGCCCGGCTATTTTTTTGTATTTTTTAGTAGAGACGGGGTTTCACCGTGTTAGCCGGGATCGTCTCTCGATCTCCTGGCCTCGTGATCCGCCCGTCTCGGCCTCCCAAAGTGCTGGGATTACAGGCTTGAGCCACCGTGCCCGGCCGAATCTTGTTTTTTTTGAGACAGGGTCTCACTGTGTTGCCCAGGCTGGAGTAGTGTGATCATAGTTCACTGCAACCTCAACCTCTTGGGCTCAAGCAATCCTCAGATTCCCAAGTAGCTAGGACTGTGGGCATGCACCACCACGCCTGGCTAATTTTTAAAATATTTTTGTAGAAATAGGATCTCACTATGTTGTCCAGGCTGGTCTTAAACTTCTGGGCTCAATCAATCCTCTTGCTTCAGCCTCCCAAGTGCTAGGATTACAGGCATGAGCCACCCTGCCCGGCCTGTGTTTGAATCTTAAGTCAGGTCCCAGGTTGGCTTGAAGTATTCTCTTACCAGGAGGTCAGATCTCCCACATACTACCTCCAGGTACACCTAAGCCTTGGTCTATCAAGGATTCACGGAAATGACAGGCTTTGGAATCTGGGCTTTTACCGCCTTATCTAAGCCTCAAGTTTCCTTATTTGTAAAATGGGGTAATAATAGTAACTACCTATAGAAAGGTTGTAAGGATTAAATCAATGGAGACAATAGTGGGTAAAGCACATAGCTAGCACCCACTGAGGAGTAGCTGTATCATTTGGTTATGTCTGGACTAGAGACACACGAGGCTCTGTTCGAATAACCTTTCTCTCTCTGTGTTTCTGTTTGCAGCAAAGTGGGGCACCAAGGCCCTGTGCTAAGCACTCATAATCCTCTGGGGGTGCTACCCCATACAAACAGCACCCCCACCATGTTTAACCTAATGAAGAAAGACAAGGACAAAGATGGCGGGCGGAAGGAGAAGAAGGAGAAAAAGGAGAAAAAGGAGCGGATGTCAGCGGCAGAGCTTCGGAGCCTGGAGGAGATGAGCCTGCGACGCGGCTTCTTCAACCTGAACCGCTCCTCCAAGCGGGAATCCAAGACGCGCCTGGAAATCTCCAACCCCATCCCTATCAAGGTGGCCAGCGGCTCTGACCTACACCTAACTGACATTGACTCCGACAGTAACCGGGGCAGCATCATCCTGGACTCGGGCCATCTAAGCACAGCCAGCTCCAGCGATGACCTCAAGGGTGAGGAGGGCAGCTTCCGTGGCTCGGTGCTGCAGCGGGCAGCCAAGTTCGGCTCACTGGCCAAGCAGAACTCACAGATGATTGTCAAGCGCTTTTCCTTCTCCCAGCGTAGCCGGGATGAGAGCGCCTCAGAAACCTCGACGCCCTCAGAGCACTCTGCCGCCCCCTCACCACAGGTGGAGGTGAGGACTCTAGAGGGACAGCTGGTGCAGCATCCTGGCCCAGGCATCCCTCGACCAGGGCACCGATCCCGAGCCCCTGAGCTAGTGACTAAAAAGTTCCCAGTCGACCTGCGCCTGCCCCCCGTGGTGCCCCTGCCCCCACCTGCCCTCCGGGAGCTGGAGCTGCAACGACGGCCCACTGGAGACTTTGGCTTCTCCCTGCGGCGCACAACCATGCTGGATCGGGGCCCTGAGGGCCAGGCCTATCGGCGGGTGGTCCACTTTGCTGAGCCTGGTGCAGGCACCAAGGACCTGGCCTTGGGGCTGGTGCCAGGAGATCGACTGGTGGAGATTAATGGGCACAATGTGGAGAACAAGTCCAGGGATGAAATTGTGGAGATGATCCGGCAGTCAGGGGACAGCGTACGGCTCAAGGTGCAGCCCATTCCAGAGCTCAGCGAACTCAGCAGGAGCTGGCTGCGGAGCGGCGAGGGACCTCGGAGGGAGCCATCCGATGTGAGTGCTTCCCTGGGCACCTGGGCTGAGCAGGGATGGGGAATGTGGGCACCTCCTGCTGTTGTGCTTGACTGGGTAATCAGGGTCCCCACGAGCTGCGATCAGAGCCGGGCAGTGTGTAAGTGGGGAAGCCGTGCTGCTCTCTGAGCTTGTGGGGAAGCATGAGCTCAGGAGAAGGTGCCCCATGCTCATTATCCTCTGGGGGTGCCACCCCTACAAACATCACCCCCACCATGTTTAACCTAATGAAGAAAGACAAGGACATTAAAGGAGTCACACCTTTGTCTCTCAACTGTGTCTGGGAGCTGAGGACAAGTCCCCAAAGGTTCACTCCGGTAGAGTTCTGAGCAGTTTGGCCCGGCCTCATGGTTTTATGGTTCCCTCCAGTGTTCTGTGTCTGTTGGATTGACCTAACTGAATTCAGCATAATGCGTTTCTCAAGGGTGATGGGCTAGACCAAACTCTGCCTGAACCTTAGTTTCAGCTCTGGAGCCCTCGAGAGAGGTCTGCTGTTGGTTAGTAATTACTGTGAAAGTATTCAGCTTCTCCATTACAAGGATGGGTTAGGGGTTTGGGCACCATATTTCCTGAGCCCTAAATTGGGGTATATAGGCTAACATGTGTCACTTCCAGATATAAGAGACAATCTGGATGGTAAAATACAATATTTCCATGTTATTTAGATCTTGGGGATAAAAAAGACAAATGATTTCAAATTAGGGCTGTCATGGAGCATCTGAGATGTACAGCTGGTATGATTATATCTTTGGGAAAGATGACCTCAGGCCAGAGCCTCCTCTTGCCCCTGAGTGAGCAAGAGAATACCAGGTGAGGCTGCAGAGAGAGCAGGGGCAGATCATGGAGGACCTTATAAGTCACAGTTGTAATTCAGATTTCATCCCGGTGAAATGGGATCATCGAAGGGTTCGAAGCAGGGGAGTAACTAGATCTGATTTATAAAGGTCACTTGGGCTCCAAGAGTCTTTATTACCTCTCCTGGAAGGAGAAAAAGCATGGACCTGGAAAAGCAAGAGGGATGAAACCTGCACAGATACTATGTCCTGACTGTCCCTGAGATCCCAGCTGCCCATGCAAAAAGAGCAGCAGGAGGCACAGGAGCAGAGAGGTTTGTATCAGATGGAGGAACAGATCTCCATGGGGCATCAAGCTCACTAATCCCAGGGGTCTTTTGATAGGGTGGCTACATAGCAGTTTGAATGTCCTGCCTGGAGATAGTATACAAAGGACAAGTTGACCTCTGGCCATCTTCCCCTCCCAGCTGTGGGTTTTAGGATCGTCCAGATCATGGTCCCTGCTGCCTGACCAGGACCTTTTGGTACTAAGTGACCAGCCAGATGTGTCACAGTCAGAACTGGGAGGAAGTGCTAACAGGAGGAAACAGGCAGAGTCCCGGTCCCAGCTTTCTCCCAGGGAGGGGAAGCAGCTGCTAAGGATGGCTGCTCAACGCAGCAGCACCTTGGGCCTGAAGAGGGGCTGGCAGTGGTAGGATCAGACTATCAGGAAGCACTGTAGTTGGGTTCCAGGCCTTCCTTTAACCCGGAGCTAGCTGGGTTTAGGCAGCTTTGCTAGTCAGGGAAGGGTAGTGAATGGGAGGAGGCCTGTGTGAAAGACCTGGATTCTTCATTCCAGAAGCACACATTGAGCACCTACTATGTTTTAACCACCAGGTTAGGTGGAACTCAGAGAACCACAAGGTAGAAGGGGAAGAACAAGGGAGGGGTCTTTATGTCAGAAGCAAAGACTGGGCTGGGTGCAGTGGCTCACGCCTGTAATCCCAGCACTTTGGGAGGCCGAGGCGGGTGGATCACCTGAGGTCGGGAGTTTGAGAGCAGTCTGACCAACCTGAAGAAACTTAGTCTCTACTAAAAATACAAAAATTAGCTGGGCATGGTGGCGCATGCCTGTAATCCCAGCTACTTGGGAGGCTGAGGTAGGAGAATCACTTGAACCTGGGAGGCGGAGGTTGTGGTAAACCGAGATCAAGCCATTGAACTCCAGCCTGGGCAATAAGAGCGAAACTCCATTTCCAAAAAAAAAAAGAAGCAAAGACTGTAACATGTTGCCATGCCTGTCTGCGTTCTTCCAGGCTAACACTGCTTTTAACAGATGGAATTTTCTTCTTAAAGAATGAATCCCCCAGGGGATTGTTGCCAGCTCCCTGCTGAACCACAGCAAGGCCTCTATGGGGCCCTGGGCCTGGCATCCCAGATGCTGCTTGGTTTTCTCTTTATAGCACAGGGATCATCCTGGCATCTCACATTTCCTAGCTTTCCCTTCCCAACTAGCTGCTGCTATCCCATCCTTGGGGAAGTAGACGGTTTAGCTTTGGAGGCCCTGGTGGATTCCAGGTTACAGCTGATATCCCTGAAATGCTGGCTCACTCTCGCTCCTATGGGGTAAGCCCAGCTGGTGCCCAGAGGACTTCTTCCCCAAGCCTCAGCCTGTGTCATCTGCCAGAGGACACAGTAGCAAACCCCATCCCCATGCATCTCCTAGAGCCATGTGGCAGGATAAGGAGACGCATAGGGCTGAAAGAAGCCCGTATCTTTTCTCATCCAGGTAGGTGGTGGGGACTCATGCCACAAGCAGAGAGGAGCAGGGTGAGCCCAGCATTTCCAGCTTCCTGGGACAGGCCTGGGAGTGGTGTGGGGTACTGCAGCCTCTTCTGTACCCTCAGCCTCTATCTCCTCCTCTTCCTTTTACTCCTCCTGCTCCCTGTCTTGGCAGCAGTTCTAATCCCAGTTATGCGCCAAGAGAAGTCTTCCTGCCTCCTCCAGACTCCTGGGAGGGATACCCTGATGACTGTAGCCCCACAGGGACAGCTCTTGCTGGCCACCCTGCCATCAGGCCATCCATCAACTGTGTCTACACATTGCCTGTCCCCAGGGAGCTCTGAGGGAGCTGACTAGCCATCTGTTCTCTTCCTGCACACAGATGTGGCCAGGCCCCCGGCTCCTCTCCATGGCCTGTTTAGAAGGCCCCAGGGAGACACAGCCCCTTGAGTTTCCCTCTCACATGGTGTGTGTCCAGAATGCTGTGTTCACACCTTCATGTGTCCTGGTAGCTGCTAGATGAGGTTCTGCTGGGAGCAGGGGTGAGCCACAGTGGTAGGGTAGACTTGGGGCCTGGTAGAAATCAACCAGCAGGCCTGGGAGAACAGCGTTTTCTACTGCCATCTACCTTCCACCTACCCGTCCGTTAGGGAAGCATTTGTTGAGCACTTACTGCATACTAGGTCCTGGGCTCCAGCGGTGAGCAGCACATAATCCCAGCCCCAAGGAGCTCATAGTTAGCAGGAAATATGGTCCAGCAGCAGACCATGACAGTACTCTCTGAGAAACTCAACCACAGGGGCCAGTCCTGGTGCTAGGAGTGCAGCAGAGGGGCTTCAAGTCCAGTCTTGTGCAAGCTGACATCTGGGTAGTAGATGAGTGAAGGGGAGGCAAGAGGAAGGGAAACGCTGTCACAAACACATGCCAAGGCCTAAAGTTATGGAGAGAGAATCACACATTTCAGGAATAAGGCTGGGAGACGGTGAGTGGGAAGGGAGTGTTGAGAGAAGCACTAGGAGGCATCCACGGGAGCCAGGTCACGGAGGCCCCTGTGAACCGTGCTGGGGAATGTGAACTTTAACCAAAGGGCACTGAAGCAGTTTAATCAGGGAGCAATAGGAACAGGTTTTAGGAAATTACTCTGGCTGCTTATGGAGCATGCTCTAGGGTGTAGCAAAGTTGGCTGTGGGGAGAGTGGTGAGGGAGTGATTGTGATCCCAGGAGAATGGATGGAGACCTGGACTCAGGTAGAGGCAGTGGGATGGAGGGCCATCTCAGACTTGAGCAACTGTCAGACTCTGGGGTCTTGGTGACCCACTGGTAGGGGACTGAGGGAGAGGAGGGGTCACGTGACCACCGGAGTACTGGGAAGATGCTACATTCTTTCCCCTTTGATTCCTTAGGGAAGGTTCTTGGGGGGCATCTGTATTTGGATCAGTTACTCTTAAGTTTGCTGAAGGCCAAGTGTTTCCTGAGTCTGGTGAGGTTAGGGGAGATGTTGGTAAAGTTGAGGATCTTAAAACCCCAGTTGGATCAAAATTCCCTCCTCCACTTCCATAAGTCTGGATGGGAAAGTCAAGTCCCACTGAGAAGGGGCAGAGGCCAGGCTGGAGACTAGAGCCTGGGAGAGGAGAAAGCCAGTCTGTCTGTATCCTCAGTGGGTCTATCCTAGGGGAGTCCCTTAGGACTAGGCATGTCCTCCTGCATCTGGAAGTATGGGACCTTTCTGCTGAGCTCAGAAAAGCCCCACCCAGCTAAACCCTGGCCAACGTGGTTGTCCTGCCATGAAGAGCCAGAGGTGCTGGCCGGAAAGCAAGGCCTCCTGAGCTTTTTTTTTTTTTTCTTTTGAGACAGGGTCTTGCTCTGTCACCCAGGTTGGAGTGCAATGGGGCAGTCTTGGCTTATAGGCTCAAGCGATCCTCCCGCCTCAGCCTCCTGAGAAGCTGGGACCATAGGCACACACCACCATACCTGGCCAAATTTTTTTTTTTTTTTTTATAATGGAGTTTCACTCTTGTTGCCCAGGCTGGAATGCAATGGCGCTATCTCGGCTCACTGCAACCTCCACCTTCCTGGTTCAAGCGATTCTCCTGCCTCAGCCTCCTGAGTAGCTGGGATTACAGGTGCCTGCCACCACGCCTAGCTAATTTTTATATTTTTAGTACAGATGGAGTTTCACCATATTGGTCAGGCTAGTCTCGAACTCCTGACCTCAGGTGATCCACCCGCCTTGGCCTCCCAAAGTGCTAGGATTACAGGCTTGAGCCACTCACTGCACCTGGCCCTCCCTGAGCTTTTGAGAATGTGGTGGGAAGGGAGAGGGGGTCTTTAAAGGAAGGCCTACCACTCCCTCCCAGCCAAGTCTAGTTGCTGTGGTAGGGGTACTTCCCCTGGTGAACTGAGAGGCTGCTAGTTGGAGGTTTTAGT